TTTTTTTTTTTTTTTTTTTTTTTTTTTTTTTTATATCTAGTAATCCCCTACCTGTGATAGTTAATGGCTGTGATTTTTAACTCTGATAAAAGAAAGCCCTGATAGTTTTGCTCAGTTATGGTGGGTCAGGTATAGAGAAGTACAGAACTCAGCTGTGCTAAGAGTGCTGTTTATCCTGTGTGAAGTATAAAATCCCACTCTTGCCATTTCTGAAGATTTTCTGTCCAGAGCACTTGGTTTCCCTTCCTTGTAGGATACCCCCACCTTGCTGCACCCTGTTTCCCTGGCCAGGCCATTTAAATTTTGAAAGTGCTGTCCAAAACAGCAAATTATGGGAAGCTGGAGGACAACAAAGGTGATGCTGGAGCCTTTGAGCTCAGGGTGGATTTCCTACAGATRTCCATGGGGTAACTGGGGGCAGGGGCAGGAAGAATGCCTGTAAAGTGCCCAGCACATGGAGGCAAAGCAGCTGAAAGTTCTCCATGCAAGCAAACAAAGTGTGATGGGAAGAAGGATGTTTATGGCAGAATGTTTCAGCTCAGAGCTGCACTGCAGCTGTTGCAGTTGTGAAAACCATAAACTGAGGTGCTGSTTTAAAATGCAGGCACAGAGCAGGGTTCCCTGGAAATCTCTGGCTAATCTGGGACTCTGCCTCTCCTCAGCTTGCCCAGCCTTCGCCCACTGCTGGATRTCAACTATTTGCCTGTCACAGACATGAGGATAGCACGGACCTTCTGTTTCACTAACGAGGGACAGGCTTTGTACCTGAGCTCTCCCACCGAGATCCAGCGGCTCACCTACAGCCAGGAGATGTGTGACAACCTGCAGGTAGGAATCACACCTCCCTCTGGGATTTGTGTGGGGGCACCTTTGTGAAATTACAAACCTTACCTTTGATCAGGACTCTCCTGGAGGGACAGGAAAGATTTATTCCTCTCCACTCACCCTGAGTGAATGATGCCAAAGCAACACACAGTGGTCAGAACCTCTGTTGTTCTTTTTCATGCACTGTCACCTGCAAAAAGTTTTTACATATGGGCTGGTTGAGTTTGGTTATTTGACAAAGAAAATGCAAGTGAAAATGTCACTTACTGAAGAGAAGTAATTGGGAGAGGTTACAGGGAGAAACATGAGTAATAAAAGGAAAAAAAAAAAAAAAAGACATGAGTAATAAAAGGAAAAAAAAAAGAGAGGGAAAAAAAAAAAAGAGAGGGAATAAATTCTGGGTTATATAATTAGCAGTGAGCTAGAATGGAAGTATAAAAGAAATGGTCCTGCCAGCACTCATTATGCCCTAGGGAATAACATGTGCTGAGCTGCTCAACTCACATCACAGCACTGTCTGACTCAAGTCTGAAAAGGCACTGTGAGGAGYGAGCATTGCACAGCAGCTTTTGTGCACCAGAGAAGAGATTATTTTGCAAGGAGTCAATTTTAAAATAATCAAAAGGTTTGACCAATGCATCTTAAAACTATGGMCGTACAGCCAGAGGCTGTTACAAGCTAGATTTTTAAAATTTTTTTTAACAGCATCATGCAACTACCAAGCAAAGGGAAACACAGCCCTTGTTTCTCTACTGCTGGACTATGGCTGCTTTTATTTTGGCTTTGATGCAAAAAAATGTCTGCACGGTCATTATGTGTGTACAGAAAGCAGATGACCCTGTATCCTGCTACCTAGAAAAACAAATTGGGCTGCATGAGATCTCCACTGAGGCTCCAAGGGCTGCAGGAATTTTTCTCCCCCGAGCAGGTGACTGTGCAGAGGAGCAGGAGCTGTGAGTCACAGAGCTGTTCTCAGTGCACACAGCCCCACTGCTTTCAAACACTAWGGGGGATGCACATTTTCCTCAGCAGTTTTATTGCAGAGAGCCAGCCTTTCCTGGTGCTGCTGCAAATAAATCTGAGCCTGAGATCTGTCTGGGGCGACTGCTCCAAGATGTGGCACCAGAGCAGTGACCTCAGCAGATGTGCTCATTGAGCATTGCTGATGGGGTGGAGGAAGGTTGTCTGGATTTTGGATTTTGGATTAAAATGGACTTTTCAAAAAATAATCAACTAATCAACAAAGCTCCAAACACTGATTTGCTGGCAAGCACTGAACTCAGGTGTGCTGTGAGAAAGCAGAGCGACTGCCCAGCTTGGCTGAGCAATCACTAAAGCAAAATGCATAATGGACAACTAATTTTTTATTCAATTACTGTGTCAYCTCTGCTGTTTCTAAGCAAAATGTGACCTTATCACTGGTATTTTCATTCTGTATTAACTGCAATTTTTTTTCTCTGGTAATAAACAGAGGACTGGGCAGTGACAAACCAAATCTCTTTGAAAGCATGAGTGAACCCAGTGAGCCCAAGCATTTGTCTGTCAGAATACACAAATATTAACTACACTATACTGTTCAGACAACAGACTCTTTTAAGTTGATTAGATCCAGTGCATGTGATTTGTTAATGCAAATCAAGAAAACACCTAGAACTGCTTTCACCTCACTAACCTTTTACATGGACTTTTTTCTRCCTTTGCTAGGACATGCTTGGGGATTTGTTTACTCCTGTGGAAACACCAGAAGCCCAAAACAGAGGCTTTCTCAAAGGACTTTTTGGAGGAAGTGGACAAGCTTTTGACAGAGAGGAGCTTTGTGAGTAATTTTTGTTTGGGTTTTTTTTTTTTGGCAGACATTCATTCTTGAGATCCCCTGCCCTTGTCTTGTAGGAACGAAGTACACACGATTTAGATGTTGATAAAGAGAAAGTTGGCTTAGTGGAGGAAGGAGAGGGCCTTTGTCTGCCAGAAGCTGTGGCAACTTTTGATCAGCAGGGAGGGAGGATATGATGGGATATGATGGGATATGATATGATATATGATATGATATGATATGATATGATATGATATGATATGATATGATATGATATGATATGATATGATATGATGTGATGTGATGTGATGGTGACAGAGTGAAGTGTTCCACGTGTCCAAATGCCATCCCTGCTGTGATACTGCAGCTCCAGGAGCAGGGACAGAGCCATCCCAGCAACTCATCCTTTTTGTCTGTTCATTTCCCCTTTGCAGTTGGCGAGGCCACAGCAGGAAAAGCCTCCCGCAGCCTGGCCCAGCACATCCCAGGCTCGGGTGGGATTGAAGGGGTGAGAGGAGCTGCAGGAGGGGTCATCGGGGACCTGACCCGAGCGCGCATCGCCCTGGACGAGAGGGGACAGAAGCTGGGAGAGCTGGATGAAAGGACTGCCAGCATGATGGCCAGTGCTGAGGCATTCTCCAAACATGCACACGAGGTAGGAATCCTGGCATCCACACCCTGGAACAGAGCACTGCCATCCCTGCAACATTCCCTTTCAAACAATCGAGTTCCTTTGTCTCCCTTCACCCATTCGTGGTGTTGGAGATGTGCTCATATCACTGTCCCATATCATTCTTCCTGCTCCCAAATGATCAGAATGCCAAAAATAAASTGCCATTGCACCCACCTTCCTTTCAGGTTGCCAGAAATGAGCATCCATTGTTAGCCTCTGAATTTAGAACGTGGCACTTCTCGTCTTGCCTTTCTCACTAATTCATTATGATTTGTTTTTTTTTAAGCCACTTAATGCAGCACATCTATGCAGTAGGGCAGAAAACAGGTAGGTGGATGTGTGTATAGGAACCTTTAGAGATCTTGGTGGGAAGAGGAGAACATTTCTAGTACAGCCCTGTGGTRGTTATATGGAATAGGCTTTGCCAGGAATAGGAATAACTTCTGTGCTTGGAGCTGGAAATGGAAAGCTTTTCCATCCCACGCTGTTAAGACTGGGAAAAACTAAAGTGACTTTTCTTGAAGATAAAACAACATCAAAGCATACTTCCCAAAATGCACGTTTTTCATTTAACATGCATCACATCTCTGGGTAAGACCTTTACATTTTTATAGGCTTTTGTAAGTGTGAGGGAGAAAGAACGTGCCCTGAAATGCAAGAAGTTTATATATTCAGGGCATATCTACAATGCATCTTTTTATTCCTATACAAAGCAAATCCCTTTAATTTTTGAAGAAGAAAAGTAGTGAAARCCCCTCAGGAAAAATCTCCTAAAAAACAGCAATAGTAGGTAACACTTTTTTWAATGTAATAGCTATAAAATTAAAGATGAGATCTCAGTGGATTCAAGACCTGATGATGCTGTTAGTGAAGTATTTATTTATTAATTCTGAAGTTKGACAGTTAATGGGCCTAGGTCAGGTGTGGTCTCTCATATGGAGAGCATTGTTTGATTTCCATTTGTTTGGTTTTTCCCATCTCTGCAGGTGATGCTCAAATACAAGGATAAAAARTGGTACCAGTTTTAGACTTTCAAAGAAGCTGCTTGTGGCTTTATCAAGAACACTGTTCAGGGAAGCAAYCTTTATTCCCAAATCTACCAGTCACTGGCCAGAGACAGTTTTTTTTTTCTCCTAGAAGATGTTTTCCTGTTATTGAATTCATCACAGTGGACGTCAAGGAGAAATTTTACAGACCATGAGATGGAAGTTGGAATTTTGAGGGTCTTTCCAACAGCTGGCTCATAGGGTGGCCAATTTTTTTCCCAAAAGGAACTCAACCATCACTGTGGCATGTAGTTTTTCAGAAGCTGTAGGTATGAACTGTGGGGAGTGCATCTGGTTAAAAATATTCTGTACAAATTCGAATGTTAATGCACTTATAAAACTTTGCATGACTAATTGCCATCTTAAAAAAAAAAAAAAAAAAAAAAAAAAAAAAAAAGAGAAAAAGGAAGCATGTTGTGACCGACGAAAAATGGGATTTATTTCTATCCTGAGCAAAAAAAAAACCACCTTAAATGGCAAAAATCTTTATTTTTTAAAAGTGACATTATAAAAAGCCAGTACATTTCAAGCATGTTTGCTACTGTTCTCCACATAAAAATGAGTTGAGCTGCATTTTCTTATCTGCTATTTATTTCCCCTGAGAAACCTTGTTCAAAATCAGTGCTCTTTAAYTCCTACCAGAAGAAAAAAATAACTTCAAAATCCTATGCCCAAAATGTACAGATTTTGCAGTTAGCTGAGTTAGCTGGAGAGGCACTGTCTGAAAGGTCATTACAACATGAGCAGAGATGGTTTATTTGCAATTCAGAGCACATGACACATCATCCTAATCTATAATTTTTTAATGTGCTCTAGATTTGTCTCAGTTGTCCATGAAGGGGGCCGTGGCATTTTTCATCCCCATGGAGTCTCTCACTTGGTTGCTTTATTTCCCAGCAGCAGGAATAGAAAACCAGCTTTGGAAATAATTTCTTCAAGTTAGGAAAGGCAAGTTGGGAAACCATTGCCCTGTCACAGAGGCTGCTTAGCATCTTGCAGAGSAGCTGAAGTGCTCAGTTGAAATTATGTGAGGGGACCTGCACAGAAATTCCCCAAAATTTGTGTGAGAGAGAGAGATTAGAGCAGCAGAGCTCCACAATGGGTAGGGAGGAGCATGGAAAACCATTGTCAACACAAATATGTTACACATATATAAAGTGACACCATGGGTGAGTGGCAATTTATTCTCTGCTCACATTGCTAAAAGTGATTTGCTTCTGCTTCAAAGTGGTTTGTTTGGTTTTAGCAGTGAATGCTGCAGAAACTGCTGCACCCTGTAGCCACAGAAGAGAACAGAAGGAAGTTGGAGCTGTTGCTTATCCACGTGAAAAGGTTCTTAGTCCATAAGAATGTTCCACCTTAGCCACACGGGTCAGCTCTGAAGTTAGAAATTTTTCCAAGATTGGCTTGGAAACAAGGCACTGAAGGCTTGTTTTCATGTGCCTGGACTTAATTGCAAATTAGAAGAAAGAAAGTGAGGGATCAGTGTTCAAATGATCCCTCTAAAAGATGTCTTTTCCATCTCCTTCCTTTCCCTACAATAAAATGCAGCCCAGGAGGTTCTATCATCCAGAAGTTTTGCCTCACAGTTGGCCCATTGCACAAGATCAAGGGTTAGAAGAGAKTTGGAGGTGTTAAGTTTTAAATTCCCATTGTAGCACAACAGAATTTAATGATTTACAGGATTTTTACACATTTTTTGTAGGCAAAATCTAAATGATGGCCCTGACAGTTCTAGCTCAACTGGGAATGAGACTCCACAAGTTCTCCTGGCACAGGAGAAACTGCTCTAAGTTGTGAGAAGTGTAGAAACTTGTTGGGAAAAAGGTCAAAGCCTGAGCTTTGCCTGGGTTTATGCTGAGAGCTCAGGATGTGGATTTGTCCTGACCCAAGAGGATTTCTCTGTGTGTGTGTAAGAATTTGCCAAAGCTGCCACTCTGATGCCAGTAAGAACTKGGTTGGGGAATTCCTTCCARTGGCTGGGTCACAGAAGTGAGGAAMTGCTGCTCTAGCCAGGCATCAGGAAGAGAAATAAAGAACATTACAGCAATTTTATCTCCAGTATAAACCTGTATTCACTGGGCCTGTGCTCTATAATCCAAACCCACTGGTCTCTGGGCAACAAAATCATTTGGAGCAGCCTTCAGCTGTCCAGCAGCCAAATTATTTTCCATTCTGCCCTGGTGTGTGGCAATCAGAACAGCACCCCAGGCTGATGGGAGTCATGGGAACACTGAAAACAATTTCAGAGCAACTTCTAACTGCCATCCCTGCAGCTCACCCAGAGAGAAAAGTGTCCTCAACAAGTCTTTAACACAAGGTCTGACTGACTTTGGCTGCCAACAGTCTCTAGTTTAACACCAGGGTAAAAAAAAAAAAAAACAAACCTGCCAGTAGATTTCCATTTGCATTTTTATGCAACAGGGAAATGAGAATTTAGCAGCCTTCAAACTTGCAATTTTTAATACTAAACTTTTAAGCAACTTTTCTCTTGTATTCCCCATCAGGTCACAGCTTTCCACCCTTACATATTTTATGTATTTCCAGACAGTTACCAATTACTATTTCTGTTAAGTTCACCACTTGTGACTATAATTATCAATTTTCTTGTAGTCTGTAGAGATCTAAAAAATTGTATATGTTTGTATATAGAACATTCTATATATATAATATATATATGTAATGTATATGTTGTATAAGTTTGTTAGTGCACACTGTTAAATGCTTTCTATCAAGATTTACCATGTATGTGGAAAAAACCCATCACTTAAAAAGTTCAATGAGGGAGGAAAAACTCTTGCCTGGGTGATTTATTGTGAAATGAGGGGGAGTGTRGGATTTTTCAAGGCTACTCACAGCTGTCAGTGACAGGAATGAAAGTGCAGCATTGCCAGAAAGGAGCACAGCATCTGACTCTGAGAAAGACTGGAGGACTGTGATATCTGGAGGAAAATCAACCACGTTGAAATCTTCCTGTGCTTTCACCTTTTCCACTCAGACAGCACCACCTGGAGCAAAGCTTTGATGTATCTTCAGCAATCCTCAACACCAGGCCAGAGTGGCTGGAAATATTAGTTCAGTTTCAAATGCTGTTTGTTCATTTAAATGCCTTGTTCCCTCACATTCTTCTCTCCAGGAGCTCTGTCATGATCACATCCAAGACCAGATACACAGAACTTCCAGCAGCACACACACCTTTGGGTTTGACCAGATGTTTGTAATCTTATGTCTAGTGCTGTAGATAGACAGAGAAAATGCATTAAATTAGATTATTTATAAGTCTGCAGAGTTGACAAGTCTTCAATGAAGTACAAGCTATTTTATTTATTAATTAAAAAAATTTTAATCCATTCCTAGAGCTTTAACTTCAATTGCAAATCTTGAATTAAAAGACATGACAATGAAATTTTGAGAATCAGGTTTTGTTTTCTATAATTACGTGGTTTGTTTTTTTTCAAAGTTTTTTTACAGTTCAGCTACCTACATCAAGTAGTCCTTCCCCACCGTACCAGAACATAGATCTTTACACAAATGTGTAACAGAAATACTCTATTTATTACATGTATTGAATAAACTTATGACATAAGCCCTCCCCCAACAGTTTTTTTTCCTTTTCCAGTTATACTCCTTCCCTTTCACACCACAGCATATGCACTGGAATGCAGGTGGGCATAGAAATCTTTTTTTTTCAGTAGAAACCACCAATTTCTTAACTGGCCTCCTTCATTCATAAACTGTGTGTGTTGTAGCACAGGCAAACCCCCAGTTTTTGGTTAATTATGKCCCTCAAATACACTGGGCCCTGTCCCCATCCATCCCTTCCCGTATCCCAAAGGTGAATTCAAGCACAGCATATTTCAGTCTTGACTGTTTTTTTGTTTTTTTGCCTTGGAAGGCTCTGGTAAGAGCACACTCTCCCTCATGAAGGAACTRCGTGTGGCCATTCGTACTCAACTCTTCCTCTTAGGTGTATAAGCAATAGTCACGTAAAAAAAATGAGTGTCTCCATTCATGTGTTTTGTTTTGTGATTAAATCAACAAATCAAACATTGTACTTTTTTTAAATAGCAACAAATATTCAGATTCAGTGTGAAGGGAATGTGGACTGAGTGTGTGTGTGTAATGAATCATTACCTGTCTGTCACAACGAAGGCAGATCCGGGGAGAACCACACACTCCTGTGCTAACCATGTCCTGCTTCCACAGGTATCCTAAATCAGCACCACAAAATGAAGGCAACTTAAAGTGAGGCTGTTTCGAGCCCCCAGTAACAACCAAAAAAAAAAAAAAAAAAGAGGGAAAGAAAATAAAGGAAAGAATTGATAATAGTTGGCGTAATCTCTTTTTTTCGAACCTCTACTCCTGGATTCTTTATGGCATTTCAGAGGTGCATGGTTTGTGTAAAGCCTTTGGTTGGAGTTTGCACAGCTCAGAAATACAATTCAGKATTCAGAAATACAAAAATGGCAGTTCTGGTTGTTGCTGGGGTGGGGATGGCCACTTCCCTTCCTGCAGCTGTTCTTGCCAGGCCAGAACCCATTCCCCAGCTGATGCTCCATTGTAGGGAGCTCACACAGAGCTCATAACTCCAGTACCAGACCCCAGGAATGTTACAGCCTTGTACCTGAGCTTCCCATCACTGCCACTCCAGGGGAAATCAGTCACCCACAGGCTGATTTTCACCCACAGGGGAAATCAGTCTACCCAAGGCCAGGAATGAGCTCCTATAAGAGCCCTTCCCAAATGAGCCTGTTTGTTTAGGGGCACATCCTAAGAGCAAGTCTGAGTTGTTCTGCCAGGAGAGGCTAAAAATGGCAGCCAAACTCTCAGCTCCCTCTTGCCAGCTACGTACAACTCTTGATGAAATGCAAGCAGCACAGGAAAAAGAAAAAAGGATCAAAGCAGATCAGATTATCAGTGTCACTATTTGTCACCTGCCTGTCACTGCTTCCAGTAGCCAGGGAGAAAAGCTGCAGCAGAAAGACCAAGGCAAAACAAGCTTGTGGTSTGCTGGTGAGGAAAAGGACCAAGAGGCTCTAACAAATACCAAAGGTGTAAGTTCCTGCTCCAAACTTCTGCCCCATACCAGTAGCCAGCTGAATGGAAATTTGAGTCATTTTGAGCAGAAAGCACAAACAAGCTGAGGAACAGACAGCAAACACCACCAGATSCAGCCCATCCTGACTACACAGAGACCAAGATTCTGCCTCTGGTTATCAGATCCCAAATTAATAAAAATCCCACTTTCCAGCTAAACACAAGCCTCAGCCTATCAGAGGTAGGGGAAAAGGAGCCCACAGGCAAAAYAGGTAAGTAATGTGAGCAGCCAGGGTCTTTCTACAGCCTTCAGAACACAGCATAAACTCTTTTCTGCAGTTCTGGACAGTGCCTCTGCTTACCTGACCTGGGKCCTCTTCTGCTTCCACTGCTCAGTCTCACCAAGAGTTAAAAAGTCTAATCAGAGGAATGTAAAYAGCAGCAATCAGCCAACAGCTCAGAGCCAGTCCTAGGAAAACAATTCAAACACCACAGTGGCTACCTCTTATCTTCTCATTTGCTCCAAATTACTGCTTAATTAAAATGAACCCATCGAGTTCGTTAGTGAAAATAAGTTTGGGTACACGTTAATCCCGTCACCGATTAGCATCACCCCCTTCCAGAGAGCTTGCTGAGAAATAYGTGCCAGATCCATCCTTTGCAAACTCTCAAGGCAGCGTGTGGGAGGAAAATATTGTAACGTGCCAAAGAACAAGCAGCCCAAATGACAGCAGCCCCAAAATACGGCACAGGTGTGTCACCACAGGACAGCCAGGGACAGGAAATCATCAGGCCATGTGAATTGGTAASGAGTCCAAGGCAGCATTTTCACACAAATGCTCGGGCACCAGGGTGCCAAGGCTCAGATCTGTTAATAACAAAAGCTTTAATAAAGCAAGCAAAGAAACAATTGTGGATAAAGAGCTCAGCCATCAGGTGATGGATGGCGTAGAAAGCCAGGGAGAAAACAAAACCATCTCAATATAAATACAGAATGGGAAAGAAGGCCAAGAGGTGCTGAGAAGGGCAGTGAAGGCAGCCTTACCTGRGGCTCTGGCTCAGTACCACGTGTCTGTTCTGCTGCACAACCCAGGATGCAGTCCTTTGTATGGAGGCCCCATTAACATCTCTGAAAAGTTCTCCAGCACTGGTACTTGTGATGKCAGGATAATGGCCCTGCCAAAGCTCTGCATTTGAAGTTAAAAAGCTCGAGCCCCCTCGCAGGCTGCTGAAAGCCAAGTGTGCATCCTCTCAGATCAGCCTGTAAAAGCAACTTCAAAAGTACACTGCTTAAAAAGAAAGCAGCAGAAGTTCAGAAATGAAGGAATAATTAAGGGCTTGAAAACTCCTCGCAGGAGGCAAGAATGGGAAGATGGAGATTGATTACATCAGGGAGGAACTGCAGAAAAAAGACATGATACAATAATTAGAGGCATAAGGAGGATGACAGGAGGCACTTGTCCTCCCTTTCTTGTGACATACAAGGGCTAGACAATGAAAATAACAGAATTCAAGGTCAAGCTTTGTGTGAAGTTAACAAAAGCAGCTGAACTTGTGTAACCATCACAACTGTCTGGAAGGGAGACCAAAATATGTGATGTGAGATTTAACCAGACCAGAAGGCATTAGTGGGGAGAGTAATGCCAAACAGTGGCAGATTAATTCCCTGGAAGCTTYTTCCCTGCCCCTTCTTTTGAAGGATCTGATCTCAGCTCAGCTTGACAAGCCAAATTCCCAGGAAAACTTTCTGCCAGATCATAAGGTCAGAGCCAAAGAGGCKGAGGCAAAGAGTGGGGGAAATCTGAGCAGGTTTTAGTGGGGCTTCCTTAGGAGAATGGTCTCTGAATGAAGAGCCACAGGTCACCCCCTCACAGGGTAAAAAATGCCTCTCAAACACACCAGACCCTCAAATACCAGCAAGGCTGCCATGTCAGCTGGCCACACTGAGATAGTTTCCTTCTTTAAAGAAAAATATGCACTGCCATTAAGTTTTTAACCAATTCACTGAGCTTCATTCTTTACAATATTCCTGCTTGTGATTTTATATTAACTCTAAGAGACTCCAAACAGTGTCCCTCTCAAGTTTGCAAGGCAGCAGTAGATGAGTTACACAGTCACCAAAATGCTTATTTAAAAGTCAGAGGCCAACTAAGCAGAGGTTCCACTCACTGTTAACACTGCACAGCTGCTCAGTGAGAAATCCAGCCAGCTGTAAATCCTTCACTTCAGCACCTGAGTGTCAGCAGCAGAATCCAGCACAAGATAATCCTGGCAGAGGACTGCAAAATTCTACATCAAGTGCAATCACAATGAGTTTTTTTGGTCCTAGACAATTACACAGCAGAACTGCCAAAATATCTTTGTGCCTTCTTTTAATTAAGTAATCCAGCTCATTTCATACRTAATAAATTCATTAGGCTTTGGGGGTTTGTACAAGACCAAGCACACTTTAACAAAATTCATTTAAATATCCTTCTTTTAACAATTAATAATTTCACAGTTCTGTAAACACATTTCAGTGCTCTGACTGAGCTCTGGAAGATTTGGCTTGGTGAATTCACAGATTCCACCACGTGTCAGAGGAGAAACCCAGCACAGGAGGATCACACTGCCAGCAGGTGATCACAGCCCCTGCCCATCCCAAATCCCTTCTGCCTCCCCAGGCAGGAGAAACCCCACARCATTCACAGCTCCAGCTCCTGCAGATCTCCCCAGCTGGGGCCGATTTTCACTTTCACATTCAGTTTCACCGAGAGTTTGATGGCGTTTTCCATCTCGTGTTTCACRATCTTAGCGACCTAGGATAAAATATCAGGCATCAGACACACACAGCTTCAGTGCTCTGGGTTTCTGTTTGGGACAAACAGACACCTGCAATCCTGTCCTGCATTTATTTGCACTGATTTACTACCAATGGGAATGTAAGAAAATCCTGATTTGTGTTTATGAAAGGAGAAACTGTAAAAAGCCAGTGAGATTTTATGCAGGCTGGTTCTGYAGTGTT